GATTATAATTTGAGATATTAACAGTTAGATATGCCATTGTGTCCCTCTGTTGTTGTTTTTAAAGAGGTTAAACACTGTATTAACTTCTGAGTAGTGATTTATTGTTGCTTTTGTTAAAGAAAAATGAAAAAAGAAGTAAAATAATATAGTTTGATATTGCCTTTGAGAGTTTTCAGTTTGCAGAGGTCTTTATTTCCTACTCAATTTTGCTTTTTAAAAAGCATACATGTGGTGTAAATACAACATCACATAAATGCCGAGTTGCTCTTGGCTTCCTGGCTTAAGCTGCTGTGTAATATTGCTCTGTAACCATTAAACAGCTGCTCTGCCTCAAAGATGCTCTTATTTCCTTTGGTAGACAAAGGGTATTTACTTCATGAATGTCTCCAAATTGCTTTAAGATCTTTGGCCTTTGTATCAGCTATTTAGATTCACAGGGGTCTACGTAACATGAAAGTTGTGTTTCTGGAAGGCCCCCACAGCTTGGAGGCTACAACAATAACTGCACTTTGCTGAGTCTCACTCTTTATATTATCACAGGGCTCCTGACCCCCTGCATGACCCACCTCCCTCCCCCAATTTTGTCAGAATCCTTATGTATTATTTTTTTTGTATCATGTGAGCAAGCACTATTACTTCAATAACTACCCAGGTGTTGTGTCATTCACTATTTCTTTTCTTTACTCTGCTTCATCTTGGGTAATGCTTATCCATTGTAAAGCCTGTGCTACATACACACATGCATGAAAGGTGGCAGCCCCCTGCTTCAGGCGCTTCTCCCAAGCCCAGTTGTCTGATTCCCACAACACTCCCACTCTTATAAGGTCATTGTCAGTAGGCATTACCACTCATCCTTGGGAGTCTCACTATGCTCCATGCAGGAGCAGAGCTCAGTGGGAACTATCAGGTCGCATTTTTGTCTAGTGGATGCCAAACCAGCTCTGACATATTTTCAATACCTTTCATAGTTTTAGTAAAATAACTCTCAGTTTTTCTTGTAGATTCAAATTCCTTAGAACTTAGGGAGCTGGAGGTCAGGTAGGGAGAAATACCATGCTCCATTTGGAATTGTCTTCCCTTTTCTATGGAATAGTCATTGTATCTGCCTGTGTGTGACTGCCTTACTGTCTTTCCCACTAGTAGGATTAGCTTGAGATAGCACTATTCTGTTATGAGGCCCCTAACAGGTACAGCCCACTCCATCATAATGGGCATGACTGAGAAGCAAATGGAGCCCAAACTATTCATTGGAGAAATAAGGAAATAAGCTTCAGATGATACATACATATTGAAATGTTATTATGTATTTGACAAGATGTAATTTATATAAATACACTGAAATGTTCACCATTTATTTATTCATTCATCAATTTTTATAGATATTTTTGAACTCTTACTCTTTAAACACTTCTAGTTCCTTGGTATATATTTTGTACTAAATGCCTAAAGTTACACATTAGTACACAACAAAGTTAGAGATACAACCTGAATGTAATCACTACTCTTTTCCATTCTACCCAAAAGCCTAAACAAAACCTCCAGCAAATGAGTTCCGGAGTATAACAAGGCTCAATATAGATGTGCTTCAACCTTGAGCCATCTAAATCTCCACTGTTATAAAATTACTAATATGCTCCTTTGTGATTGTGTCAGTAAGTTGTATTTTAAAATTTTGTTCTGTAAGCATTTAGTTAGTAGTTACTATATGTAGAGATGCTGAGTTAGTTGTTTGGGAGATACAGAGATGAACAAGAATTGAGCCACTCCTTCAAATAAAGGAGGTGATAATCTAGTAAGAAATACAAGACTTGAAAACAGTTATCTTGGAAAACTTGAATGTCCAAAGTGATGTAAAGTAAGTACAAATTATGTACTATGTGAATATAGATGAAATAAATTGGTTATAGCTGGCACAGGGGTTGGGAGTGGAGGGTAGAGGTGCAGACTGTGGAGTGGATGGTTGAACTGGACACTAAAGACTGAGAGTTGAGTGTGCAGAAAGAGGGCCTTCTGGCCAGAAGGGAGCTGCCTGAGAAAGAGAGGAGGGCAGGCATGTACAGAGTACAGGTGAGGATGAGTAACCTTGTCTGATGGGTTAAGTGCGTGAGCTGTGGTCATGATAAATGAGGTCTAATATGAAATGTAAATAAGCCCAAATTTAGTATATTTACCGTACGTAAACTTAATGTTTACCATATATGAAAGTATAATTTATACTTTAAAACAACAAAAGCAACAAAAATCCTTGTAGAAAACGATGGTGGTTCAGAAAATTAGAAATATCTTTATCACCAGCCTTACAAAGGGAATCAATGTGTTTTTTTGTTTTCATGTCTTTTAATACCCTGTTAGCTGACATACAAGTTGCTCAATAATCACTGAAATGAATTCAACCTGGTGAAAAATTAATCGTTCAACATGTAGGAATTTCTCAAAATAGAAGTACATCAAATGGGGACATTTGGTTATCATCCTCTTAAAATTATGTATTTTTTTGCAGTAATGACTTAACATGAGGCCTAAGTTTTATCACCAGGTGGGATCTCATAATTTCTTCTCTCTCTTTCTTTCATTTTTTTTCTAAAGAAGGTAGATGTGTGGGTATAAAACAGTGTTCAGACATAGATGACTCCTCAGTCCACAAGAGGAAAGCATATGAGGGTGGGACCCCCCCCCCACCACCAAAAAAACTGTAATTGTCTTCTGGAGGATAGGCCCCTTATAGTACAGGCTTCTCCCATTAGGTGAGTGTCTAAGAACCCATTGGTATCAGTGTACCAGCTAGTGGTGTTGTGAGAGGCAGTGTTGGCCTTCACTGAATTTTTTTTAAGACTCTCAGTGAGTTTGCCCATTTCATGATGGGGGATTTACAAGCACACCTGCCCACACCACCTGAGTGTTCAACAGTTTTTGACCAAAAATGGCATGATCCCCATGCCCCACCCTCTCTATTCACACTATTTTACCCTAAGCAACTATTTTTTTGTTTGTTTCCCTGGATGAAAAAAGTCCTCAAAGGGAAATGTTTTGCCAATGTGGAAGAGGTGAAACAACAACAACAGAAATGACAGAAGCACTAAAAGGCATCAAAATCGATGAATTCAAAAACTGTTTTGAGCAGTGGAAAAACGTCTTGATAAGTGTATTGCCTCAAATGGACAGTACATTGAAGGGACTGAAGTTTAAACATGTAAGAATAAATACACAATTTTTTTAAATGTGTTTTTAACTATTTTTTTTTAAAGATTTTATTTATTTATTTTTAGAGAGGGAAAGGAGGGAGATAGAGAGAGAGAAACATCAATGTGCGGTTGCTGGGGGTTATGGCCTGCAACCCAGGCATGTACCCTGGCTGGGAATCGAACTTGGGACACCTTGGTTCCCAGCCCGCGCTCAATCCACTGAGCTACGCCAGCCAGGGCAATACACAATTTTTATAAATAAATTTTGGGTTTTTTGGGTCCCCTCTTGTATATTATAATTAAATGATTTTCTGTCTTTTCACACTGTGTATGGTTAAAAAACGGTGTGATAACTTTGGTTCTGGTAAAATTTCTAAATGCAGATTTACAAATGATTCGAGCATGCCTAGAACCCAGGGTGTATAATTCAGTGTGTGGGCGATTGTTGGCTCCTGCTGCCCGTTTGCACTTAGTGGTAACACGTGATCAGGGCCTCTGTGGGTTTTATATTTTTATCTCACTTATTATTTATTACAACTCAGTGGTGTAGGTGATTTTATTATCTCTAATTTATAAATGAGGGGCTCTGAGGCCCAAAGAGTCTAATAACTTGTTCAGGATTCCACACTGGTACATGGTGGGTGGGTAGCAATTCCCAGCTCTTTGACTTGAGTGCTTCATATTGCTAAACCGCCAGTGAATGCCTCAGACCCCTGCAATGAATCTCATCCCTTGGTCCGCCCTGAATCTTTAAGTAGAATCCAATCATATTGCCAGTTCTTGGAATCTAGAGCTGTTTCTTGGAAGTGTTTTAATTCTGAGGATTTTCAGACTCTTTTAAATCTCTCCTTAGGATAGCAGTAAGTAACCATATTCCTTGTTCCTAAGGTGTTCTCTTCCTCCTCACCCTCATTACACCTCCTTCACTTAAATGAGAAACTTGGAACATGACGGGTGTTTGTGGGAGCCTCCAGCTCTAGTCCTGGCTACAGCTAGACCAGCTACCACACAGGTCTGATTTACTCAGGTGCCTGAACCATTTGTTGGCTACAGCCACAGTGGTCCCTGTATGTGAAAGTCATAGAAGGGTCACATGGCATTTCTTGGAGGTCTGGAATCATTGCTGTGTGCTAGAAAAAGTGTCAGTTCTTGAAATGAAGGAAGTCCAGGGGCGTAGTAGCAAGAGTGAGAAAGCAAGGCAATCGTGTGAGGTATATTACACGAAAATAGGTTGATGCAAAGAATGTGTACAAGTTATGCTTTTGTGTGATTCATGACCCTGGAACAAGGGTGGGGGTGCTGGTAACAGCAGCTCACTTTTCTTTAATCAGGGAAGGATTTGTGAAAGAACAGTGGTTTCAAGAGATCTTTGAAGTAATTCCAACAAGGTGCTAATTGTGGTTGTGGTTTTCCTCTCTCTCTCTCTCTCTCTCTCTCTCTCTCTCTCTCTCTCTCTCTCTCTCTCTCTCATTTTTTTCAAATGGTTGGACTTTAGTCTACCAGCTGCTACCAAGCTGAACTGCATTTATGAACTTTCTTTCTCTAGGGGTGGGCTGTAGCAAAAATAACCATACCGATTGCCCTGTACCTTTAGAAGGTTTTAAAACATTGTTTTAGAAGATTATTTAACATCTAAACTTTTTACTTTAATTTAGACAGACCCAGTTTGCATTCACAAGAGTTTTACTTGTTTTTGTTGTAAGCTTACTTTTTTTTTGTTCTAACCTTTGGTTTAAAAACACTTGAACAAATTCTAGTGTTTAATCATTATTTACTTCCTGCTTATGTTGATCTTTCCCCCTTGGTGTTTATTTTCAGGATACCTTGAAGATAGTTTTGTAAAATCTGGAGTCTTCAATGTATCAGAGCTTGTGAGAGTATCCAGAAGTAAGTAAATTGTTTTCTGATTATTTAATTTTGCAGCAAGATTTAAAATATTTTACATTTTGAACCTTAAATACAGTATGAAGGGTAACCATATATTAGGAGAAACAGAGTTTTAAATTCTTGGACCTTTGGATGAAATCATTATTGAATATATTTTGCCTGACTTTGCTAAAATATTTTTCTTTAAATCATTAAAACTTCTTGTACAAAAATAATTTTAGGGTTGTTCTGATTGCTATGTTAATGGTATTCATTTAACTTACTGTTCTCTCTGTGACCATAGATGGTCATTTATATCAAAGGAAGTGCGATTAATTAAATGTGCTCTGTATTGTTATAATAACCCACATAAGTTTCCTGTAGATAAGTGATTTTTTCATTTTACTAACATTTTGGTGGGGGCTTAGAGATGTACAGGATATACACACTAACATGCAGAGTGTGGAGGGATGCAGAAATTAACTTTGCAGATTGCAGTTGGATATAGATAGAAAGCATTGTAATTCAAAACAATATCCAATTGTTTTAACTGACTACCTCACCTGAGACACCATTCTTGGCAGGCTGATGAGATGTTTCTTGGTTAAATTCACCTGGCCAGCTACCTAAGCAAGGGGAAAGCTTCCTCGATCAACTCTTTCATTTATTACTAGTGTGTGCAAATATATATCTAAAATGCAGCTCTTAATGCACTGATTACATTAAAGGAGGTGCCTTGTTTCTTCCTGCTCTCTTCTCTGATTTAGCTTTTTTAATGTAACTTTGAAGGGTGTTTTTTCACTTGACATTTTGATAGCCTTACAGTTTGGAATGATGTTATTCAGATAAGATAGTGGCACTGTGGTTCTTGTTTAAATTGTGTTTTTCACTTGGGTCAAATTCAGAGGCCATGAATAAGATTTATGGTGATCCACAAGAACAAACTGGGAATGAGTTACTGAGGGCAAGAATAGGTAGAGTTGTATACAGTGAAAGAATCTCCAAGCTAGTAGATTATGGACTATGTCTTTTGAACCATAGATTCTCAAAGAGTTCAAATTTCTAAAGTGGTCAATGCAAATAGCATGTATCTCAGAGATTTCTGCACATGAGCCTTAAAGATCGTAAGCAACTTATGCTTTCTCACACAATTTCCCGGAAGGTAAATGTATGCCCAAAAGACTTCTGTCATAGGTTATATACCTGGGGGCAGTGTAGACCAAAACTTCGTACCCTGCAGTCCCAGGGTGCGCGTTTGCTGGGGAGAGGATTCTGATGGCTTACTCCATTGACCGACGTGACACTGTAGTATTTTCTCTGGTCAGTATATGGTGAAGGTCTTTGACATATGAAAGTTTTTTATTTTTTTAATTTATATATATATTTTAAATTTGGAAAGGAACATGCCTGACTTATTTTCTGGCATCACATAAGGAAGGGCATATTTGAAGATTTGTGTGTGTGTGTGTGTTTTCTCCACACTGTTCTTTATTAGAGAAGCTAAGCTGTTGCAGTTATAAGACATTATGAAAGTATTTGCTTAAATTTGTACTTCTAAGTTCCATGATAGACTTTCATCTTTCTTATGAGTAGCACAGTAGAGTCATCGGTCAGAAAATATTATTAGTTCCTCATCATTGGTAACATTATGCTTGATGCTGTAGAAGGAAGGCCATATAAGAACCATTAAAAGCCCAGAGAGATATTTTGAAAAATTTGAAACATAAAACTTACTTTTGAAACATTAAAAATTACTTTTCTATAACAATCGGAAATGAGGTAAATTTAACATACTTCATTCATTCTTTCATAACTCATCCTGTCATCTCTTAGAGGTTTTTGTTACCTGTTACAATAAACATTACTGATTTGTAATTGGTACATTAATTATCTATATTCATTCATTCATTTATTCAGCAAACATTTATTTTCTACTCTGTGTGCAAATAGGTATCTCTGAAGTGCTTGAGAAATTTATTCTCCTAAGTGTTTTAATGTATCCACATTATAATCTTATTTATACAATTGAACTTTATTGTTTATGAAATAAGGGTTTTCTAAGTAAATATAAACTTCAGTACAAATCACAAATTCTGACTTTTTGAGGGTTTATGGTATGTTAATGGTTTCTATCCTTGAGGGTTTTACTATCATATAACCCACTAATGTGTGTGTTGACTTTAGCTAATGAAGCTATTCAGTTTTAGGGATAGTGATCTTTCTGTTGAATGATATTATCTCCATCTTAAAAGTTGATTTAAGATCAGCTTTTGGAGTGAAGAGAACAATAAGAGAGATTAAGGGCTGACCTCTAACCCTTACAATCTGAGATTCTTTGGAGCTTGGTTTCTAAGAGGCTATTGGCAGCCTCTTAACCAGGATTTGCAGCTTTCGGGCTTCTTGCCTCCCTGGGATAGGTGCTAACTCGGTCCGTGCTTCTAACAGCTCTCTCAGAGGCTTTCAAACAGGATATCTGTCTGGGACTTGCTGTTCTTATACACTTTGTCATGAAATAAATTTTGTGGGTGTGCTGTTTTAAAATCTGGTCATGTTTATTATTAATCTACTTTTTTTCCCTGTCAACTCCCATTTGGTGTCAGAATGCACACTAAAATTTTACAGTGCTTGTATATAAATTTGTAGACAGATTATTTTTATTACTAATTTGATATTCTGGAATAATCCTCTGGAACAAAATTTAGAAAAATTCTATTATTATTTTACTATAAATTATACCTAGTATGTTTATGGTCAAGTGATCTGTGCTGTCAAGCATTATGTGTTCCATAGAAACTATAGATGTTTGCCTAAATATTGCATGAACTTAATAAATTTCAATAATTTGTATAAGATGTAACCTATAAGTTTCCTGTTAGTAACTTAGTTATTTGAATTGTATCCATTACTGTTATAGGAACCAGACAGATCGCTTGCTTTCACTGAGCCCCGCAAATGCCTCCCTCTATCACATGCCTGCTTTCCAATGTCACATAGAACAAGGTTCTAATAATAAACTTTAGAGCATGTGGTTACTGTGGGATTTCTTACCTTGCATTTTTTAACCTCCGGTGTACCTCAAGCCACAACAAACAGTTGCATTTTGGCTTTCCAAAGGATTTAGCCATTAGGCACAGTTGTACACTGAATACAAAATGTTCTGTGTAAAATGAGGCTAACATGAATTATATATAATATGAACAATCTAACAGAAAGCAGAAGCTTGAGAATTTTAAAGCTGAGACTAATCTTGTATATAGTGACTTACTTAATTTTTAGTAGGAAAAGAAAGATGTTTATTATATATTTTTTGATATTGCTCTGCACTAAAACATGTGCCTCATAGTCATACTTTCTTAAAAACATTTTAAGTTAATCTTGGCCTACCTGATATTGCAGTAAAAATCAACTGGTAATGAACACATTTCAAATGTTTATAAAAAATTCCGAGTAAAAAAAAGTTCCTTGAAAATCTGTGGTTCCTTTGGAATTTTCTATTCACCTTCAGCAGTGAAGAGAGGCAGGAGGACTAAGTAGACTATGTATTCTTTGAGTGAGGCTCAGGGGCTCTAGAACTTTGTTACCACAGCACAGGACACACTTTTTCTCATTAGGGCCTTTGAAGGCCCAATAAAATCAAGTGAAGAAATAAAAACTATTCTTTTTTTATAAAACTGTAATAAAGAAATTTTTATTGAGTGGAATCTGGCTTATATTTTTCTCATACCTTCTAATTGTGAGCTAGGGCAGGTATTAAAGGGTAGAAAGGTTTGCATTATATATTTTTAAGTATTTTTTATCGATTATGCTATTGCAGTTTTCCCAAATTTTTCCCCTTTATCCCCCATCCACCCTGCCCCCCAACCTTCCAGCATTACCCCCACTCTTAGTTCACGTCAATGGGTGTACATATGAGTTTGAGTCCTCTATTTCCTATACCATTTTTTATCTGTCCCCATCTATTTTATGCCTACTAATTGTGCTTCTTCTTCCCTGCACCTTTCCCTCCCTATTACTCCCTTTCCCCTCCCCACATTCATCCCTCTGTGTGATGTTCATTTCTCTGGTTCTGTTCCTGTTCTGGTTGTTTTCTTAATTTTTGTTTTCATTGTTTTTCTTTTCTTTTAGGTTCATTTGTTGATAGTTGTGAATTTCTTGTTTTGTTGTTCATATTTTTTATCTTCTTTTTCTTAGGAAAGTCCCTTTAACATTTCATATAATAAGGGCTTGGTGATGATGAACTCCTTTCACTTGACCTTATCTGGGAAGCACTTTATCTGCCCTTCCATTCTAAATGAAAGCTTTGCTGGGTAGAGTAATCTTGAATGTAGGTCCTTGCCTTTCCTTACTTCAAATACTTCTTTCCAGCCCCTTCTTGCCCGTAAGTAAGGTTTCTTTTGAGAAATCAGCTGGTAGCCTTATGGGAGCTCCTTTGTAGGTAACTGTCTCCTTTCCTCTTGCTGCTTTTAGGATTCTCTCTTTATATTTAATCTTGGGTAACTTTTAATGATGATGTGCCTTGGTGTGTTCCTGTTTGGGTCTGACTTCTTTGGAACTCTCTGGGCTTCCTGGACTTCCTGGAAGTGTATTTCCTTTGCCAGACTGGGGAAGTTTTCCTTCATTATTTGTTTAAATAAGGTTTCAATTTCTTGTTCTTGTTCTTCTTCTTCTGGCACCCCGATAATTAGAATACTGGAATGTTTCAGGTTGTCCCAGAGAATCCTCAGCCTCTCTTCATTTTTTTGGATTCTTGTTTTTTTGTTCTGATCAAGTTGGTTGTTTATTTCTTCCTTTTGTTCTAAATTGTTGCTTTGAATCCTGGTTTCCTTCTTGTCACTGTTGGTTCCCTGAATAGTTTGCTTTATTTCATTTTGGGTATCTTTCATTTGTTCTCTCATTTTTCGACCAAGCTCAATCAGTTCTGTGAGTATTTTGATTACCAGGGCTTTAAATTCTCCATCAGATAGGTTGGCAATCTCCTCATCAGTTAGTTCTGAGATTTTGCTGTGTTCTTTCATTTGGGCCATATTTCTTTGTCTTGGGGCAGCTGATAGGTTGTAACCAGGAGAGGCCTTAGGTATTCACCCAGGAAGGGCAACCCTCCTTGCTCACTGCCGGTGTGGGAGCGGCCAGAGAGGGAACAGTGCAGCTCACCTGCTGGACTCTAGCACACTTTCCAACAGACTCTCGTGTCAGACTGGAAGTATCTCTCACAGGTGCAACCCCAACCTTAGCCCAGAGTCAGCTCTGAGTTTCAGTTTTCCCCTTAAGTCAGTCTCTCCTGTGCAGCTCTGCCAAGCTCAGCAGTCAGCCCTGTCCCCCAGCCATTTCTGGAGGTTTTTCTGAGTTGGCCTACGCAGTCTGTCTTACCAGTCTGGTGGTTCTGGTTGAATTTTTCTTTAATTCCTTGGTTGTCAGAGTTCCATGCAATTTAATTTTCTGGCGATTTTCATTGTTTATTGATTTTAAATTGGTTGTTAACATCCTTTTAGTTGTGCAAGGAGGTGAAGGGTTTCTACCTTTGCCTCCATCTTGGCCAGAACTAAAACTATTCTTAAGTACTGTCCTTTGACACAAACCTGCCTGGTTTCCACCTTGCATATTATCTCTGCCCATGACTTTGCTCCTGACGTAAACCATATTTGAAATGACCTCCCTTCAAAACCTTATATTTACATTCTCTAAGGTCTAGTGCTAGCCTTAGCTTTTCCACAAACTTGGACTATTAAAGCTTGTGTTGGAGTCTTCTTCCCTTGAAATCCTACAGCATTTATTTATCATGTCATTCATTTGAGCGGCTTCATTATGATCTGCATTATGCTTGAATTTATGTTCTCATGAGTACTTTGTTTACCCACCTTATTGACCAATATGTTTTAAGGACCAGGACTATCTTAGACTATTTTGTATTCCTTGCAGCACCTGACAGTAATGGACACAATCAGTAACTTGTTGAATGAACAGATTTTCAGCAAGTAGGTTAATTTATACCTTCATCTGTTTTGAGCATGTTTTTGAACTGATCCATCTTTGCTGACCACTTTAGTCTGCAAGGGAAGAAATTTGTGGAGGAAAGCAAAAAAGGAAGGAAACTTATATTTGTGGAATACTTGTTATGTACCAGGCAAAATGCTGGGCTTTTATCACTTTTGATCTCATTTCATCCTCAAAATAATCACAGGTGCTAAGCTATTATTATTCTTATTTTATAGTTTAGGAAACCGAGGCACATAGCTTATAAGTGGTAGCGTTAGTTCAAACTAAAAAGCTATCTGGTAAGACTGTACTCATTCTAACACAGCAACCACACAGATCTATTGAAGACATCTAGAAACAGTTTTTTAAATTAAACTGATGTACAAAACCCAATACCAACATGCAAAAATCTCCGTTCATAATATATAAGTAAATTCAAAAAGATTCCTTGATTTACAAAATAATATCTTAAACCGTGAAACTCCATGTGTGTATCTTAAATAAATTATAAGGTTGTAGCACAAAAATATTTTCCCATCACCTAAGGACTTTTTTTTCTTTTAGAGGGAAGGAGTGGGTGAGAGAGGGAGAAAGAAACATTGATTGATTGCAGCCTGTATGTGCTGGACCAAGGATCAAACCCACACTCTTTTGGTGTGTGGGACTCTGCTCTAACCACCTGAGCCACACCATCCAGGGCAGCACAAAATTTTTTGAAAAACAAAACCTAATTATTGAGAAAGGCTACACTTATAATATTCATATTCATATGAAACCTGAATATCTATTTTGAGAGAAAATAACTTGGCTTTCTTTCATATTTTAAAATTTTACTTATATACCTGTCATAATATAAGAATTATTTCTATCATAAATATCATGATTTTGAATCCATTATTATATTAATGTTAATATTATTATAGAACAATATTTGTCATTTATTTATGAAATTGATCTATATTTATTTAATGATGATTTGGTTTTTGAGAGTCAGCTCAGTACAAAGCACCTTGCTTGGTGCTGAGCGTATTTTGTTTTCTCTGATGCATCTGTAGATGAATGGGGTGACAGATATAGTTACAGCTACTACAAAGGAGTGAGTGAGGAAGGTTGGAGAGTTGGAGTACGAGAAGTGGTAATCAATAGTTACAGTCTGAGTGCCTTGAATTTTCAGACTTGAACTTTGGTATCAGGAGGAAGTTTTCAAGTCCTGCCCCAGCATATGGTTGATATTAGAGTCTTAAAAGTAAAGACAGTTCTCCTTACCCTTGCCCAGAAGCATGGAAAATATTAGATTATTACATTTGAATAAAGATGACAAGTGTAAATGTCATTCCCAATGTTTCCTTTGTTTTAATCCTCAGCACCCATAACCCAGGGAACTGGTGTCAACTTTCCAATTGGAGAAATCCCAAGCCAACCATACTATCATGACATGAACTCGGGGGTCAATCTTCAGAGGTCGCTGTCTTCTCCACCAAGCAGGTAACTGGAAGAGAAGGGGCTCTTGTTCTCCATCTGTATGCAAATAGGGAGGTAGGGAGGTACAGAATAGGGGAAACAAAGCAAAGAGTTAAAGAGTTTTTGCTGATTTCATACAGATTTTTCATCTTTCCTCACAAAATGTATTTTTACATTTAAAAATTAAATGTAATTTTTATTCAAAGCATTTTTTAAACTTTTTAAGGAGTGACCAGAGAACTATTAAAATGTATTGATATGATTTCTGTCCTGTTCTGTGAAATATTATAATTCTTCAAATTAACTAATTCTTTTGGTGACTTTAAAAATGCCATTGCCTTGGCAAAGAACCCTGGTTTATGATTGATCCATCCTACAAACTTTTACCCTAATACCACACTCAAGCTGGGGAAAATGAAACATACAAAATAAAATGTGTCATTTATTTAAAAGTAAAAGGCCTCATTCTAGTCCAAAGTTTGCCATGTTCCTCAATTAATTGATATTCTTTGAATAATTTAGTGAACTCTCAGATACCAATTAAAATATTACCTGCTCTGAGATTTGGTTTAACCACTCTTTTTTGTAGAAGAGCTACAGTGAGATTACTCTGCTTGTTAGTTCTTTGTTGACATTCTCATTTTTCTCTCTTGACCTTCTTATTGTAAATTTCATTCCCACAAAAGTTTAAAAAGAGGTTTCCTATTTAATTGAGGGATAAATAGCTTGGAAAGTCACTGTACATAGGATTTCAAGAGGATTGAGTTAATGAGAAGGTAAAGTGAATAAATAGTATAGCTTTATTATTTTTTTAGTTAAATATGCAATATATGAAGACCCATTTCATTTCCAGAGTGTTAAATATACCCATGATCAAATATGATGGTATACAGGAATTCCAGAAAAAAACATATGTTTTATTTTTATTAACTTTTTAAATATTATTTTAAATAATATTAATAATAATAATATTAACTTAAAAATTAAAAAATTGACTATTTTCCTATCCTATTTTTGTAATGCAAGTTAATTGCATTTCAGTTAATTATGGGGCTATGGACATTTGTATGTTTATTAGCTAAGTTTAATTTTATATCATTTATGATCAAAGTGTATTTTTATATAGTTAGATTGTGTAGCAAGATAATTGGGCTTAATATCACTAAAATAGTAGTGACGTGGTGAGATTTTAAAATGCTTTAGTTTTTTTTAATTTAAAATGTGAATAGTAATTTCTAAGTTTGTCTGATGGACAGTATTTTGTCAACATAGAGCCTTTCTCATGGTTATTCAGTATCAGACATTATGTCATTCTGAATAAAAATGGTTAAAAATTTCTCTATTATTTCCTTATGAAAATCTTTTCTCTATCATTTCAAGTTTTCCATATTTACTTCTGACTCAGAGATGGGAGAATTAGATTAAAGCAGGGTTTTAAAAATATCTACCTTCTAACTCGAATACCATCAGAAGGAACTAAAGAACTATTATTCACTCTCACTATGGATAGAAATTGCTACCTTCTACATCATGTCAATACTGTGTGAGTTGTGAGTCAAATATTAATCACAGGCACATCTGTGAAAATACCCAGACATACACACGCTTCCAGGTTTTGGAAACAGGACAGTTAGAAAGAGCAGAACTTACTTTGTGTCAAACAGCTTCCATCAACATGCCCTGGGCAACTCACTGAATTGCTCTAAATTTGTGTCCACACATCTAAGAAGAGGGAGGATTGGTTTATGTGTAGGACCTCTGATATTCTTTGGCATTATGTTTTTCACTTGATTAAGTTAATTTAGAAGACATCTTTTTAGGTTTTTACCTACAGAGATGTAAATAGGGACTTCTTTTAACTTAGGGAAAAATATCCATTTTTATAGTCAATTAACTGTTTAATAGGGTGTTGGTGGGGATATATATCAAGCTATCTGGCGTGTGCTACAAAATGGCTTTTTAACCTCTGCTTCAAATGCTCACTTTTCCTAATAATTGAGATGAGCCATATTTTCTTTATTAAAATATATCATATTAAAAGTACGATATACTGTGTAGTTTGAATTCGGTAGTGGCTTGCTTTTTCATGGTTAATCTTAAGAATAAGGGATATCAATAACCTGATTTCTTCAGAAAAGATAAAGAAGAATATATGAAATAGTTTATAATTGGTAACATACTATAACAATTTTAATATTATTAATTATATGGTTACTACTAATAGCTACTATTTAGTAAGTATCTTCTAAATGCCATCCACTTAACTAAGAGCTTTACATTTTATAACTCATTTAATCCTCTCAATCACTTCCCTTTGAACTAGGTTTTATTATTTCCATTTTATAAATGATTAAACTAAGTTTAGAAAGGTTAATAAGCCTACTACTAAGAAGTAGTAAGTAGCCTAGATTCTATACTAGACCAGTGCCACTCCACACAGCTCAAGTTCTGCTCTGCTCCATTTGTTTATCTTTGAATTACTGTGACAGGATTATATTGTTAATATCAAGTGTAATGCAAATGAACATTATTGATATTGATAATAATTTTAAAAATCAGGTACAATCTTAATAACAATTTTAAAATTAGTACCTATATCTCATTAAGAATTCACTTTTTACATCTGAAATTTCTTTGGAAGTACATTTCAAACATAAATGTAATAAACATCATGTTTATGAGGCAGATAGTGATATAATATAGCGTCATAAATAATATCTACAATTGGAAATAGCGTTAACCCTATTTATGTCTTGAATACTCACCATTATTTCAAACTTAGTCTGAGATTTTGTGTTTATGGAAATTTCCACAGTAAGAATCTCCTCAAAGTATATGCTTTGAAATGCTACACATCTTCCTAGAAATTCCATTAACATAACTACTGTCATGTTTTAACAGCAAAAGACCCAAAACTATATCCATAGATGAAAATATGGAACCCAGTCCTACAGGAGACTTTTATCCCTCTCCAAACTCACCAGCTGCTGGAAGTAGAACATGGCATGACAGAGATCAAGGTGAGTAATAAAGAGTTGCCCCCAGCGACATTAGAGTAATATGTTAGCTCACTTCATGTTTCATTTAGTCAGAATATCATTAGTTGAACCAACATGGGTTATATTTTCTTCATAAAATGACTGCACTAAAATTATTTTTAAGATAATGTACAAGTCAAATGGTGTCAAAGTTAACTTTTAAAAATCCCGTGTTTTACATGTTTATTGGACTTTATTTTTCAGACAGAATGATTTTTTTAGAGCCTCCAATTGTGTGTGGGATAGATTATGATCTGTCTATCTTAGCTGGTTGGACTGCAGCAGAACCACAGTTTTGATTGAATTAGATCAGTTTGCTTCTCTTTATGGGGTACTTCAGGGAGGAGCCAGCCTCTAGCCATTGCAGGTGCCAGTCACTGCAAGCTCCCATTTAAAGGAGGCCATAATACCTTTTGAGAGTAGTTATAGCATAAACAGTAAGTAAATGTGGAATGTAGAAACTTTGGATCTAAGTCAACCTGGTCATTCTTTCTAGATAAAACTATGATACAGTTCTAAGAAAGCTTTAGGGGGAAACATAACTAAGAAGTAGGTATTATTTGGCTCTCTGAAATTCCAGCTTACCTCCATGTTATTTTTAAAGTCTATTTCAACAGTTTCAACCAGTGTGCCACAAGAATTTTTAAAACCTGCAGTACCTGACTATTTAGTGAGGAGCACTGACCTCTTTGCCCTTAGATTGTCAAATATAAAAATGAAAACAGCAAACACAACAATAGCCATTCAGTGTGAATGAATCAAAATTATACCTGGTTTGCTGTTAGATTGGGGAAAAGTATATATTTTGATATGCTGCAAAATTTTAGTAATTAGTTTATATGTGCAGGGAGGTGAAAAAGGTTGAAAATCATTGGTTTATTGAATTAAGTCAAATCTATTCCCTCAGACATATCTATGCCCTTTTTTTTGCCATAATTAGAGGGAGATTATCAAGCCTGGAAACTGAAAAATTAGCTAACTACAATTTTTGTTAGTATGTGTGCATGGATACAAATATAACTTATAGCAGCAGCATAAAAATGTACTTGAGAATTGTCTTTTAAATCAAGTTCTACATTTTATTAAAAATGTAGAAGAAAAGCACTCTTTATTGGTAGTTTTCAGACTGTGGCTTGGGTGTGTGAACCTGAGGGTTTGGAAGCTGTATGTCGAGTAATCTCAGGAGACAAATAACTTAGCAGTTAGGAGTCAAAGTCAGTTCCTTATTCAAGACTACGTTTTTGCTGCTCCAGATTTTTTATGCCAAATGCTATAGGGTTTAAAGAACAGTGAAAATTTTTCATGGAGGAATTGAACTTTGAGTCCACTGGGCCTCCTTTAACAGGCTGAGATCTTTAACTAGTGAAGAAGGGGGAGGCATGGCGTAGGCAGGCGCTGTGCAGAAGTTGGTTTCAGATTGGCCATGTATGTCCTGTGGCTGGACACTGTGCAGGAGGAAGTAATGGCAGATGACAGAGGTCATTCTAAGGACATTCTTGGAAACGAGCTGGAGACTTCTACTCTAAGGACATTTTTTACAATGTATTTTTTGGGCAGTAGACAAAATCATCTATATAAAACATAATGATGTCACATCACTTCTCTGCTTCAGATCCTTTAGTAAATTTCCATTCTGCTTAGAGGAAAATGAAAATTCCCTCATGTGACTAAGAAGCCCCATTTGTTGTCTGCCTGTCCTTTGGCTATCACTCCAGCTTCCGTGGGTGCTATCTGCTTCTCCTTCTTACACTTGGGCCCACTGCTTTGTGTAGGTTTGGGAAGACAAAACCCAAGACCTTCATATAAGCCATGTTTTCTGGAAGCCCCTCTCCTAACTCTATGAAAAGATCGTGTTCTCTTTTGTTTTTTTATCTTGTCATTATTCAGTTCCAGCCTACCTGGAGGAGTTTCATCCAGGTCTTAACTGTTTTTTTCTCATGATATTCAGTATGGTTCCATGTACTCATAATATGTTATTACACATTTATCAATGGAATTGTCTCAATCTGCCTCCATTATGAGGTCAGGGACTTTATCTGTTTTGGCTACTACTGTAACAAGCACCTAATAACCATGCACAACACTTGGTGCTTAGTAGGGGCACAGTTAACTTTTGGATAAATGAACTGTTGATGGGCAGAACACTGGTCTTATTAGTGAAGGCAAGAAAAAATAGGGACCTTTATCAGACTTGCAGAAATGATGATATAAACAAAATCCTCAACCTTTTATATTTTATTACTTGTTTTACTGATATTGTCAGCTTATTCTAAACAAAGCCATATTTTCCCCATCAGAAAAATCATTCTGGAAAAAATTCTAATGGTAATAACATTGTGAATGTGTAGGAGTGGATATGTTGTTCAGAAGTGTAGTATTCGTTATTGTAGAGAGTGTCACTTTTAAGAATTGATTCCCCTTTCAGCCTTTTGAATAAAGCCAATCTCAAATCATATTATAAAACATTTTTGAAAAGTAGAAGGGAAACTGTCATTCTTTCTCTTTGTAAAATCATTGTATTGTCTTGGTGATTTTCTTTTGTCAAGATGACTAGAGTTATTAGAGAAGTCTGTAAAGGCATATTATATTAAGAGAAGAAGAATGATCCATTCTCAAGTGAGCTTAAAAAAAAGTCTGTCACTTTAATTCTGAAGACCCTGAAGACTTTGTAATGTGCACAATAGGCCATTGTGGAAAAAAGACTTCAACTACCATGAAAAAATGAGGACAGTACAGTACTATCTTTATAAATTTGTTAATGCAACTGCAGTCCTTTTGTTCTTAGAAAATTGCTTTTTAAAATTTTTCAAAGTAAAATGACCCATGGTTTTTCTTGTTGGTCTTCAAATGTTTTAGACACACTTGCTTGCCATGAAGGGAATTTTCTAAAGGGCATATCAAGTACTACTCGCTATTTATAATGACTTTAGTACATGTTTTATACTTGTTTCTGCCACAAAGCCCTGTACTAATTGGTATTCAATAAGTAGTTATTAGTTGAGTAAAATGTGCTTGTGCTTATAATTGACAGAAATGTTTGAATTTTGCTATTATTTCTTGGGTATGCCTTATTCCATTGTGTTAACTTTGCATTAAAATCTATTTCTGTGATAGCCCTTAGCAAAACTAATATTTGAAATATGAGAATTAAAAATAAATTTATGGGCGAATTTATTGTAACATTCTACTTATAATCTGAAACCCCAACCTAAAACATTGAGATTTATTCCAAGTAGGCAAAAAATAAAGGATGTGATAGCACCAAATTACTATACTTATTTCACTTGTAAAAAAAAATCAGGCACAATTTTAATATAAAATATAGATTCATGTAATGACAAAATTGTATGTAATTTTTAATAATTTAATAAAAAATTATTTTTATTTTAGCCTGTTACTAACAAGTAAATTTTTTAAAAATAAAAACATTAACAATTTCCTGATTATTAAAGTTATAATTTTTAATTTTTCAGAATGTAGACACAAACATTTTAAAACTAACCACTATTTAATCGTGTTAAAAATTTGGTAGGAATGTATATAATTTGCTAAAATTTCTTCTGATGAATAGTGATGGAAATTAAATTTGTCAGCACCTACATTATGTAATATTTATATTTTTATTTTATGTTCTTTTACACATAGATAATGGAAAGAAAAAGAAAAAAAGAAAACTGGATCACTAACAAGGCTCATGTAGACACTGATATTCCTTTGCTAGAGTGTAGAATATTTTTTCTTGCTTAGTCTTCAATGAATTTCCCAGTCTTATAATTCTGGCTTTTCCCTCTTGAAAACTTTCTTTTTTGGATACTGTTTTTCATCATTTTAGGTTTTTGTGGTTAAATAATAGAACTAGGTTAACTTTTCAATATGTATGTTGAAAATTTCCTTTATTTCAGTTGTTACACCAGAACAAATTTCACATGACCCCTTGTCTACCTTAATTATTTTTTTATACCAGAGCCATTTCAGAGACTCAGTTCCTAGTCAAGGTGCTTGTCTTGCAGTCATCAGAGTCATCTTTTGCAACTTCTGATAAAAGAGAAGAATAAGAGGCAGGTCTTGGGTTGTCAAGTTACTTTCAAGGGAATAAATGTAGTTGCATGTCAGTGCCCAGAAATTTAACAGACTAATAATTCTAATAATTTTGCTTAAAAATTTGAAACCATTTTTATGACTGTCACTTTGCCACTGCATTCTAATAGTCATTGATTCATCTATGCCTGAAGTTCTAAAACACTATTTAATAGATATTTAGTGATAGGGTAAATATATTTGTTGTATACAGCTGGGGTTTTTAAGTGGAAATTTCAGCAGCTTCTCAGTCTGATCAATATTTAAACAATTTGTAATTTTAAGTAAATGTAAATTTAAAATGACATTTTTGCAGTAATATTTTATTAGTTCCTACTACACATTGAGGATTTGAGATAATTGGACTCAATTAACATTTATCAAATGCCTATTTTTTTTGCCAGAAATTTTTCTAGGCACACAATATGAATAAATTAGATTTCCAGCCCTTGACCTACAGAACAAAAAAATAATTTTTTACTCTTATGAAAAATGGTGGTTCATGGAGAATAAACAATGTGAACCAGAGTATGAAAGGACTGTCTACACACCTAAAAACTAACTTACTTTTAAGCATTATAAGAAGTAACTGTTTACACAAAAATCAATAAATTAGTATGTTAGTGAGAAGTAGCACTACTTAGTGGTATATTGGTATATAATTACAATTTTAACAGTAGTTTAAAAATTTATGCAGGACTCTTCAGTAGGCAATATTTAGGCATCTTGTTTTGGTTGCTCTTGGTACTAGAAAATAACACTATTTTTTAAAATTTATAGTTTTGTCATATAAATACATCTCTTTAACTAGTCTTTGTGAAATTTTAATATATTTTCAAGCCCTAGAAATTTATTTTGACTATTTTGCAAATGTTCTCATTTGTAATATAGTCTTAGATGTTGTA